AATTTTAAGGTTTTGTATAAGCTAGAAGGGCTTGGAAAAACACACATGCCCCTATCTGAAAAAGACGCTCACACAGGCATTGTCTACACACTGCAAGATCATATTTATAAAGCAATCAAGAGAAGAAGAGAGTGAGATCTGGGAACCTCTTTGAAAAACTCCTTCAGTCAGACCTACTTGTAACAAGATTACAAAATACAAAATAGAAGAGATGATCACTGCTCAGAACTTCACTACAGATTGTTGTGCTATGGCACTGCTGCACATCTATCTTTTGTTGCTAGTCTCCAACATGCTGGACTCTTCCCCATTTTGGAAAAATTATTTGAACATTTTCAAAAAGTAAATAAAAACAATTAGAAACATATTTTCACTTTTCTTTCTTGTTGGATGAAATAATTAGGAGACAAGAGTATGTTAATTGAAATGGCATATGCATAGGAAAAAAATAGTGGAAATAACAAATGAAAAATATTTTGGTAAAATGCAGGCAGAACAGTCAAAGTGACCACATTAATTGGAACATACTACAGCTCGCAAATTCAATTTGTCCTTCTCATGAGAGAAGTTGACTTGTTATTGATACAAATGTTCAGTAATCTGTTGACTGAGGAAAGCGAAATAAGACTAGAAAGACGACATTAGTATAGTTCTTGGTTCATGACTGAACCTTTTGATTTCAGCAGTGCCACTCAAGATAGTAAACATCACTTTAAGCACTTGCAGGACCAGGCTTTAAATACTAAACTCTTCTGTTGATTTGGCAAGAAACTAAGATACAGAACTGGTTAGCTACGGTGTGTTACATTCAAATACAGTAAAACCTCATTAATTTCCACTGGCAACAATTAGTATTCCAAAACTGGAGTCCTTCCCTGTTTCTCTGCAGAGATCAAACTGAGCTCTTCCATGAGATCAGGCATATGCAAAAAACAGACAGAAGTTTTATTTGTAAGGAAAACATAATCTGACTTTTTCTATAAACGAACACTTGCCAATCTGAAAAATTCTATAATTTGCCAGGTGTGTTTCAGCTATTAGAGAGAATTAGCAAGGTGTGATTGTACTCTAAATCCGTTAAAGGCCAAAGTCTTACCTCATCAGGACTAGGGATAATATTTACACTGACAACCTGATCACAAATAACAGATTCTGAATGTATTCTGTTCAAGCGACTCCTTAGTTCAGCATTCTGGTTGAGAGCCTTAAAATAAAAATTGCACATTTCATTTAAAATTAAAAAGTAAGTGTTAAACAGTAAAAAAAAAAAAAAAAAAAGAAAAGAAAAAGAGAGAAAAAAGTAGCTTCTACCCAGCAATTTCCTAAGAAATACAGAACCTTGTTTCTTCCATTTTTAGAGAGATACCTATTTTGAGATCCCTCTAACATGATTTAATCTTTTGGTTTGTTTGCCTTCAGTGATTTTCAGGAGGCTAGGGGGATCAATATTCTCCCACAACGTAACAGTAGCATTCTACCTTAATTCTTGAGATAGGGTATACTGGTGAGTTATGTACACTATGTAAATAGGGAGTGAATGCAGCAGCAAAGAATGAAACTGCAAAACAACAAACAGGAACTACTCACAAAATGCTGAGAGGTAATTCTTGGTTTATAACTATACAGCTCTTTTTGAACAAAGGTTATCAGCACTTAGATCCTGCAAAAGGAAATTTCTTCCTTTCTAGGAAAAACAACATAATTGCTAGCATCATTGGGTGTTTGCCCATCCAGATTGAGCTGATATATTTGCATCTGTGTACTCATTTCAAACTAGTGATCCATTAGTGTGTCACAAATATCAATAGAATTCAACTGGTGTCTGGTATCTGATGATTTTTCTCCTTTTATAAAGCCCAACCTAGATTATAAATTTGGGTACATATATACATATTGTCTGTTATATAGAAAGACTTGTGCAAGATTCTGAAATCTAGAATAAGTATAATATGCTACATACCTAGAACATGAACTGACTTAATCCCAATATATCCCCAGCACTGGGGATTATAGAAAAGAACAACAGACATACTGTTTTACTAGAAAATGACTGTTACAACGGAGTGAAAATCTTCTGCCTCCACCTAGCGCAGACTCAAGAACAGATTACATGAACGTACTGAAACAAAGTAGGACCGAAGTAAAATAGGTTAGCTTAAACTGTCACTAGTTTAAATTACCCTATTTTTCTTTGTTCTGAAACAGTCTGGGCATTTTCACAGTTGCCATCTATCAGGAAGGGAAAGTGATGACTAACTGCAGCCTGGCAGAAGCTTCTTAAACTGCTCAGACCTTGTCATGAGACCAATTAAACCTGGGCGTCTAAATAAGACCAAACTTTCAATTATTCCCCATCGAGACTACAAACTAACAAGTGACAGTGACTTTTAGACTGACACTGGAGGCCAGGAACAAAAAGAAAACATGATCACCTATTTCATACAAGTTGCTAATAAGTCTCCACAGATCTTTGTTAAATTTGTATCTGAAATACACCTGAAAAAGGCATGTATCTGAAAATCCAATTTACTCATGATTATCCTGTAACCCACAATTCCTTTTGCAGTTAGAGAAAGAGATATATAAAACAAATCTGAAAATATACAGTCAAAATTTAAAATTCAATTAAGAAAACAAGAATATCTCCTTGGCTGTGCTGGAAACAGCTCCAGGAATGATACCTAGCATTTGTATGACAATATTTGATCCTTTTTCTTTGCTTTGGAAAACCATGACAGATACATGCTTACACAAACAAATGACGTCTTTCACCTCCACATGCATTGAGGTTAGATCTATGCTCTCATGTCATAACAAAACATATGTCATAGTTCTGGTCAAGAACTTGGCTTTTTCTTGGCTCCTTCTACCTCAGGATACGGACGAAATAAAAAAGAAATAGTGCATCTGGCAAGCTAGATGTGCTTGAAATCAAATGAAGAACATACCTGAGAGAGGGACTGTCTGAGGTGTGCTATTTGAGCATTGTGGCCTGCAAGATCCTGCTCTGAAACAATCTGCTTAAGCTTCTCCTTCTCTATAGCTATGCTGTTAAAGGCAGACTTCAAAAGAGAATGCACTAAGCAAAAAGAAAAAAAAGAAAAGTGTTTTCTCAGCTACAGAACTCCATATTGACATCTATTACAGTATTTCAGCAATAAAAAGAGTCAGATTTCCATCCCACAATTATGGAAGTTTGAAACAAGGATCTGAACTTCCAGTAATCCATGCCAAATTAAGTACAACCACTTCCAGCTTGAGGTTGTAATGTGCATACTGTATGTTCACACGTAAGTCATCTTGAGCATATTATTCATGCAGAACGTATGGAAAGGTGCATATTTGGAAAATGTGTCCAATGTGCATTCTTTTCTTTCAGTTTTTTTTTTAATTATTATTTTTATTTTCAGAGTAATTAAAAAAAAATCAATTCTGCTAAGACTTAATATTGCACTAATAGAGAGGATTTCTTGGTCTTTAAACAGGCTTTTGACATTTTTTAATGTCTCACATTAAAACGACTCACATTTAAAGACTCACATTTTTCCTATGTCTGCTATGCAACAGAAAGCAAACTGATAACAAACTCTTTTTAAAATATTATTTTTCAGTCTGTAGGACCATTCATCTATTGGCGATCAAATGGCATTTCTAAAGTACATTCCAGTAATAAGCTCTTCTGTTGTTTCCACTGACACAGAAAACATTGTACAAAAATAAATTGCACAACATCATATGTAGCAGTGACATTCTGATTCATCTTTGGGGAGAAATAAAGAATTTACTGAGAAACAAAATGTTTGCATATTCAATCACATATTTACAAGATGCAGAAAGTAGTTCAGAAGACTTATAAAAAAAATCTCTTATCATAGTTTACCTATCTCTGTATTCATGACATCCATGAAAAACATAAGAAGGATAATACATGTTGCCTTTATGTAAGCCACCTGACTGGCTATCAAATTCTTATACAATATCATCTAATGTAAATGAATGCTCTGGCCATAACTAAGTGAAGGCAATGAAGAAACACAACAGAGAAGCACAATAAAGGAAAAGCTTGACATTTCCAGTTACCTTTTTGTGCCATCAGGCAGAATTCTTCTTGAAGCTTCATGTACTCAGTAGAGCACTCCAGAGGGTCCGTTACATGGCTTGGGGGAGTCTGAAACTCCATGTCTGCACAAAGATTGGGATTGGATGAATGCAGTCGAACAGGTGACATTGTAGCGCTGAAAGGGACCTACAACAAGAAACAGTGAAGAAATATTGTATAGGGTGCAACCAACCTTTAGACTCTGTTGAAGCAAAATACAAATTTCTTCCGAAAACAAAGACTTAGTTCCCAACATGAAGAACGTGGTAAGAGTGAAGATGTAACTTTTTACTCTCCTAAATCTCAGCACAGCTGATGCCGAATTCTCTTGAGATTTCTCACTGAAACAGGCAAAAGAAGGTCTAAATACATAGCTAACAGCTAAGGTTGTAGTGGTTTTATTCTAACATTTACAAAAATGGTCCACTTCCTAGTGCTTATAAGGTGACTGGGAAATTGAACCATGACACATGCAAATTTATATTTGGACATTTGAGAGTATATGTAGTATGACTCTGGTGTTACAACACCGACATTTGAAGTATGCAAGTTCCTCCACAGATCTAGAAACAGGATATAACATTTTCAAATATATCACTGAAATTTTTCAAAACTACTGGCAAATCTTGACTTGAAACTCACTGTACTGGCAACTACGAAGAGAGAAAAGGCATATAGTATTTCTATAGTCTTTCTAACTAAATAAATATATAGCAAAAAAAATCAAAACTCCACTTGATTTTCATTTAAAGTACATGAATCATAAATAAATGCAAAGAGATACGGTTTAGTAAAATAGAGCAAAGAATTTAGTTTATTATCATTTCCACTTCTCTTTCTTTTTCTATACTTTTCAGGTACAGTAATAAAAATACATATGCAAATCTTAATAAATTTTATATGCATGAATCGAATAGTTACCTATGTGCTACATATGCAGTACATGGCTACCACTGTGATATATATGATGTGTGTGTGTGAGCGAATGTTGTATTTTATTTTAATTTTACCATTTAAACACATTTGTATAAAAATCAGGCCAAGAACCCAATTTTCAAATTTAAATGCAAAGGATGCATGCAGAACTGCATTTTGTTACTTAAATATTAAGCACTGAAACACATGGAACCCATTAAAACTAATTTGTTTCATTGTATTGATGGAATATATAAATCAAGAATTTCCACACTGCAGCCCAATATAATTATTCAAATATGAAAAATGGGGTCAAAATACAAAATGTGTCTTCAGAGGCATGATAAAGAGCAGCAGATCATATAAAAAGTCATATTACTAAGAATATTTATCAACACATATGTTATATACTATCATCAGTATTTGAAATTGATACATTGTTATTTGATTAGATCAGGAAATGGTTTTATCAATCCCTTCCTGTAAAAGTTGTCATCAATATACATTTTAGGCTTCTAATTCCCAAAGGAAATTCTCAAAATGTTGTTGGATTCATCATATCTCATTCCAATCATGAGCATATTCTGCAAAATATCATTTTCTATCCTGTTCTTCCTCAATTTTCACTATATGTAGCAAGTAAAATAATAACTCTATGGCACCCGTCCAGTATAAAGTTTATTCTCTTCTCTCACGTACTTTGATTCACGTACTTTTTGCTATATCAACAAAGCAAATATTTTTTCTTGACCTCATTTTAGCCTTATATCAAGAAGACTTCATTAACAGGAGATGTAGAACAAATTCTTTCCATTCATACTGGATATTTACCCCATTATCTTCTTTGCGAGTACCAGACTGCCTCTCTCAGCCGTGCAACAAAGCTAGGTTAATTGACTACCATAACTGAATGTAGGTTAATATCAAGTTTCCTTTACAAAACCTTTTCAATTCTTAAATCGGAGAATATGTTCCCAAAACTTTCTGACTGGGAGCCCCACAAAGGTTCAATTGCTCCAGGTGGCTCCAGGCAGGCCAGGCAGCTGGCTACATGATAGCCGTGTGTGCGGGGAGCATGTACCCAACCCTCAAGCCCATCCAGAAGGCAGGAAAGAAAGCTGATCCCGGCTATAATGTAGGAAATTGAGGGAGAGTCTTCGCAGCCCCACACGCCCGTGGTGATGAGGGGGGTTGCCCCAGCTCCACACAGACTGGCAGAGCTGCAAGCAGGCTGCCCACACATGGGAAGGCTCTTTTGTCACTTTGTGATGAACCTAGCTGAAGAAACCTGCTTTGGATGCATCATTTCTGCCTCACACCTCAGCTGGCCAAGCTGAAAAGCAGTGTTTATGCAGTGAGGTTTATTGGAAAAATAACAAATTATAATATGCCCTAGAAACAGCATTTAAATGTTCTACAAATATATCACACTGCTTGCAAGAAATACACATTTACATGACAAAGTAGCTGCTTTGCCGACTGTTTTAAATACAAGAACCAAAAATACTAAAGTGTTGACTGATATGAACTCTCCTCATATGCATTTTTTAGAAAAGATTCCGAGCTACTTTCCACAATAGGTGAAAAAGTCTACATTGAACAAACTCTTTCATTCTCTTGAATAGGAAACAGTCCAAGAAACACTGCCAACGTACTTCTCTTCCACTTTTTTCCTTCCACTGCTGTGCTTTCTCTCTACATCCATGATGATTTGATTCTGACTTTATTACCCATTCATTTTCTGGTTGGGCTTTTTGTTTGTTTGTTTTTGGAGGTTTTTTAAAAACGTTTAACTTCTCAGTGCATCACTCTGGTTTCCGCTACACACACATTCTTCTAGACATGACCTCTGATGTACCTTGTCCTGACTCTGCTTTACGCTAGGTGCGTAATACCCACTCATTCATCATCTTCTTCAGAATTATGTGTTCACGTAGGAACAGACTGTTGCTGGTAGAGCGGGTTGTAAGGAAAACCTCTTCTTTCTGCCATGCATTTAACTGATGTAATTCTGTATCCCTCAGTCTACACACAGCTTCATTGTCTGGGAGAGACAAGCACTTTGCTACATCAGCCAGAAAGAACGGGCCATGGCCACAACCACTGCAACAGCTACAGAGTCATTTTGATGCCTTTAATTTTCCTTCCTCCTGCACGTTTTCCAGCTCCTCCAAGACTCCTTCAGCAGGTCCTTGCTTCAGCTGCAGTTAACAACTCAGCAATTCCCTGGACTCCTACTGCCTTGCAATCTAAGTCCAGACGTATTTGGTCCACTTACGCACTCCCAGATACAGCTCTCACCAGCGCCGTCTGACTGGTGTTGAACCTACTGGTTAGAGCCTCCCACAGACACGGCTCAGCCATGTGAACTGAGAAGGGGGTTGATTTCTCTGCTAGGCAGGTAGATCGATGAGGTCAGAATATCAATCAATTATTGAGCACAGGATACAGCATCAACTGATTACGGGGGTTTAAATTGAGATGAGTTAATTTAGGATCTGGAGAAACACTGATTTCTCTCATGCTTTTTAGGAGGGACTAACAGTAACCCAGTTTGGTGGTTCAAGTAGCCAGAGGCTCAAGGTATTCAGGCTTAAGCAGAAGCTATGTCTGAGCTAGGGGATTTTAGCGATGGGCTGGAGCACCCTGGTGAGGACATTAACTGCTTGGGCTAGGTAAGGGGTATTTGTTTAATGCTCACTTCAATTTTTGGCTACACAGAGTCTTCCCTATCTAGCTGTTGTACTAATCAGTTGATGGATTAGTACTAATGTCTGTATTATATATTCCTAATAAATGCTTTCCTGTTAAAGCAGCGTACCATTTTGATGCTAATGTAATCTCACAAACAGTGCTTCCCCCTCCCAATTCCCAGACTCATGTTGATTTCAAAGCTCCAGATTTTGCATCAAAGACTTAGAGAATTGGCAAAACTAAATACAGATACTAGAGGTAGTAATATGACTTTTTGGGATTATGGAATGTAAACAGAAAGTGTCTCAAATGAAAAGGCTAACCTTATACTACCTTGGGGAAAAAAAAACAAAAACAAAAAAAGAAAACCAACTAAACAGGAAATTTTATAATTTCATGGCTGTTTGTAACACATCTCCTTGGTTCTGCCATCTTGCTATAGACTGTCACAAGAATCTTTTAATAGAATTTGATCGCTTCTTTCCATTTTGCATAGCATATAGCAGAGTATGTCAAAGACATGTTCAGATAGTGCAGGGCTTGAGTCTAACCATCACTTGCACTTGCATAAAGGAGGAGGGACACATACCATGTAAACAAGCTCAGACCCACATTTATGGAATTAATTTGTGTCAGGCCCGACCACTTCTAGGGAACTCAGCTGAAAGTGGGTAGTATGGACACCTCCAAAAAGTGCAAGAAACATTTTCATGAGCTTATTACACATTCATGTCACACAGCTTCCCATGTTTAGATCTATCCCTTGATTTTTAAATCCACTCACTGTTGTAGCCACTGCAGCTGCCAGTCTCTGCCGGCGTCGTGTTGTGCTGAACTGGCCCTTCGGCGCCGGCCCTTCCTGACAGTGAATGCAAGAAGAGAAGGAAGTAGAAAAAGAGAAGGGAAGGGGTGATGGGACACAGGAAGATGAAAGGTGATCAGAAAAGGAAGAGGGAGAGTCTTTAAGTGGATTTTAATTTTGTTAACTTTTATGGCCTACACATTCTGAGGACATATCTCATGTTTTCAGTTGTGTATGCCAGAGACATAAAAAGGCTAGATGCTTCCCTAAAATTATCTCCACCTGAGTTGGACTGCAGTACACTCACTAAGACTACCAAAAAAAAAAAAAATCAAATCTATTATCATTGCCATTCAGAGTCATAAGGCAATTATGGAATAAGAAAACAAAAAGGATGCTATGGCATGGCAGAAAACACAAAATCCAAACTCCTTCTGGGGGTCACTTGACCATCTAGAAGATGAATTCTGAAAAAGACCACTTTGTATTAGTGGAAGTGCATGAACTGTGGTCATTGATGATGCATGCATCTCAATGGTAAAACTTTTTTGGTGTGTATGTTATAGTGAGTTTGCTTATGTAAACATTCCTATGCACAGCTCTTGCATTTCAGTGTCCATTCTTGAGCCTATTTGATCATTTCCTCCACACACCACTTTTTTGAGTTCCAGCTACTTCTCCTGGACATTACTGAAGGCTTGGCTTCCAAAGCAATGCAAAAACTCAGATAAAGCAACACAAATGAAAACTAAATATTCCAACAACTACTTCCTTTCCTGCGTGCCTAACTTGTGGCTTTATCCCTCTTAATTTCACTTTTATTTTACTTTTAGGAAAGTTCATCATGGTACATTAAAGACAAGGAAATAATTGTTTAATGTAGAGGAGCTCCACACCTATCAAAGTACTTCTCTTTAATGTCTAATCAAAATGTCATTACTTTGAAGCCATTTTAAGATTTTAGAAGACTAGAAAAGCCACCTTTCTGCTTTTAGAAAACAATTTTCAAACCCTTTATATTTTTCATCCCCCTGTATCTCCACCTATAACCTCTTCAGTATTTTTAAATCTATATACATTTTTACTTTTTTTGAAAGCAGCCTGAGCACTATACAAATAATAGTGTAGATTGGATACATGGACACCATGCTGAAGAACAGGATATTGTAGTTCAATTATTAGCTGAAGTGCCTTGCTCCTATAACATTTTAGGTGGGGATTGGTGGGGTTGTTGCATCTGAGAACGGCCGTACCCTCCACCCTCTGGGTGATACTAGTGGCAGTGCTACTGACAATTGAAGGGTTATTTAACAATCACAGTAAAAGAAGAGTTACTTTGTAATATTTTGTAAAATTCTCACATTAAAAACCATGTACATAACCTCTAAAATATAGAGTACACATTGTGTTAAAGCAGAGAAGGCATCATACACATAAAGTAAAGCACTTTATGCTCTACAGAAGTATGTCTGTCCTGTGACTAAGAGTTTGGAAGGATATTCCTGTTTAACTAATACAAATATATATAAATATATATATGTACAGTTTTTGACAGGCACAAAGATATATATAAATATATGCAAGTTTATGAATAAAAGTATGCTTTATTAAAAAGGGAACAATGAGCTCTGCAGAACCATACACTCCCCTCAACACAACAGAAACTGAGGTCATAATTTGAGTTATGATATAAAGAAATACTTATTTAAGGGAAAAGGTAATAAGCCAGTCCTTGGGTCTGGTTTCATTTTTGAGCTGAAAGCCTCGGCAGAGCAAGCTGATTTTTCTGGTTGCTCTATATTATAGAGTTCTCTATTAAACTACTCCTGCCCAAGGAGGGGTAGGGGTGGGAATCATCTTGGAACATCACAACTCTGAGCTTTTGAGGAAAATCAAATCAACATTAGTTCATTTTATTGCTTTTCAGTAATTTGTTTTTCTTTTGAAGATCTTTAGGTTATCATGAGAATGACAAATCAGTCTTTTATCCAAAGGGGAAAAAAAAAAAAATCACAACTCAGTTTTTGTACAAAAGCCTTATTTGTAAAATGAATGAATACAGGTCAATTAAGCTGTTGTTGCAGGCCATTATCATAAGACTTTAAATAGGCTTTTAAAAAAAAAAAATAAACCTCCTTTATAAAAATAATCTTTCTTCAGAGAAGCAGACCATGTATTACTCTTGAGAAAAGGCCTGTAAATTAAGCTGTTTATTCTAAACAGTTTAACAACGCTGAACCCCCAAACCTGCAAACGAATACACACATGCTACGTTAAATTTCACTTCAGGGAGAAGCCTCACTCTAGTCACTGAGATTAGCTGTCTGAGTAAAGTTAACTGCATAGTGAACTGGTATACTTAATCAGTAAATATATATTTCTAAGAAACAAAGCGAGCAGCTTTTCTTACAAGAAAAAGTATGTTTTAAACACATCATACACTTAGCATTCATACTCCAGAACGTGTTAGCAGGAATACAACAAAAGCTATCTCATCGACAAAAAAATGGTAACAAGTACAATACAAAATCTGGACGAGAGAATTCTCTCCTTGTGTCTTAAGCAGCTGATGCTGAGCGAGCAAAAATTACACCCTTGTTCCCCATTACTCATGAACAAAACACCTATATATAGTAGAGTTCCCTAATTTTTATGCTCTCCAGAAGGACAGCACTCAACATCATACTGTCAGGTCTTTTGATAGTAGTTAACGACTGCTCATTCTAAAATAAATAAGTGCAAGTACTTCAAATGGAATTAACAGTGCAACTAGCTTAAAGTTAATGTGTTAGTATCAGCATTATCCCCTAAAACTAAGGAGATGTATGGAGGCATAGAGGAATGAAAAAGACAAAAGAAGTTTTCTTAGTACCAAACGTCAACCATTTAACAGCAAATCATGTGTAGGCACCATGAAGAAATGATCACAAATTAGACAATGTGATTCTCAGTAGCGGATGCCCTGATAAGCAGTTTATAAAGTGTTTGAGTAGTCTTAAAAAAATGAACTATAAGGAAGGCCAATAAAGCTAGAAGGAATGGCTAACAGAAGAAAAAATGGGACTGTAAGCTTAAAAAGCACCTAGGCATGGGGGAAATCCACATTTTAGTGGAACAGCATCATGAGCAAATTAGGAACAACACAATGAGTCAGAGCAAGGCCATCTTGCACAGATCACAGCTTTAGACCATTCATGGGACAGGACAGCCCTTGGAAGCATAAACAATGTGTTAAGCCCATCAAACTAGGCAAGATAACATAGCAGTCAAAATGGAGTCTTCATCTTCCATATAATTTAGAATAATTTTATTGTTTCTATTTCACTGCAAATTAATTTATGAATCAGTCACCAATAACTTAATGCTTTGCTCTAACAAAATAAGCTTTACATTTCCAGCATTAAGCTTGCCAAGAGTAATGCTGACCCAGGTTAGACAGAGTTCATTATCGACCCAGAAGTGACAAACCCATGTAGAGCAGTGCTATGCGTACAAACTCTCTCAGGGGAACCTGCAAACCAACCGTATTTGAGAATTTCAGGAGCTGAGGCACAGCTCCTGCCAAGCCACAAACAACAGTTTGAGAGTCAAGTGCCAAAAGGACAGAAGCCCAGACTAGTGTCACTTCGGCAAAGTGCAGGCAACACAGGAACAGCTCATAACTCCTCATGACCCACCCTAGATCATCATACATTTACTGCTTTCAAAGTTTTTTAGTCATTTTTGTGGAGAGGAATTTCTCCAAGATCACTGTGGCATGAAAGAACAACATGCATGACTCTGTGTCTTCATAGGCAGCAACTACTTACATCCATTTTCCTCATATTTATATTTGCCTATGTTATTCAGCAGGGAAACACAGTGATCCTCCAAATGAAGGTAAGAGGACATGACATCAATCATCAAAATTCCTTTACTAATAAACTTTTTTAATCCTATCAGATGCTTCATTGTCCAACCTATTCTGATTTATCTAGTAAAACAGGTAGAAAGAAAAATCACCTACGACAGCTGCAACGAGAAAGCTGATGAAACTACAATTTCTTCTTTCCTTAAGATTATTAATCTTAAATGACTCACATTGAGCTCCTTACTGTGCCTGAGTCAGAGAAAACTCCTTATTGTGCTTCTAGGAGGCATATTAAAGGCTTTCAAAGTTTGCATGAATTTCAAGGAATTTAAATGGATCAAAAGTTGACGACTTTATTTATTCTGTAGCAGACAGCACAGTGGTGGTGATTGTTAACTCCTGAAGTCAGTTGATTATAGTCTTCATTATCAGTTGCTCCACCACAGAAAAGATTAGGTTTTGGATTAGGCCTCAAAACACACAACTGCTTCTGACAAAACACAGTAAGATACCCTGGATCTAGAAGTAACACAAGTGTATTATGATTATTTCTTTGCTTTTACTTTTCAGCTCTAAGGCAGGATGAAGTAAATTCTTTCTTCACATAATTTATTCTTTGGTTTATTCAGTTTGTTCCCATACTAGCCTTTTCTGTAAGAGAAGGCTTGTGAAAATACTTCTCACTGGTAACGTTCCTGGTAGGCAGGAACCTTGACAACAACCTTGACTTATGTTCCTTGACAAAGGCAACTGGCGTGTTTAGTATTTCATTCATGTTTTCTGCTTTTAGCTCGGTATTATCTGCTCAACTGCCCTTCTTGACAAGTTTGAGATAGAACATCAGCATCCCCATGTGCTGCATGTATATTGCCTTTTTTACACCTTAATTGACTAGTATTCAGATCCCTCTCCTTTCCCTAGACTGCAATGTTTTCATATGAATGAAAGTAAAATCAATACTTTTCTCATTAAATTTTCTAGATTTTAAACGACAAACTGAGATTTAATATACTTCATCAGGAACATAAGAGACAGTACATTGAGTTCCTACTTTCAGCTAACATATAATTTCATACTTGAAAGTTAATCTAAAAGTACAGTGAAAAGTAAAACATTGTGCATTCAGTACCTGAAGTTGAATTTTTGCATCTTTGCTGACACTTTTTGTTCTCCATCGTCTCGTGACCCGCTTGTCTTTCTTTGAAATATCTACACAGTTAGCCTACATTACACAAATAGTTAAAAGCGACAAAGTGCTATTAAGTTGACACAAGCAACACAGACAGTACAGCAAGTTAGTAAAGAATCGTAGCGTTACACATCTACAGATTAGAAAGTAAGGAGAATGCCATTGCTGGGACCCACAACTACAGCAGTGACCAGCTGTAGCTATCCATACATTTCTATAAGCACATGGTGTATTTAGCTAATTTAACAAAACTACTGGTGTACTTTCTTCACGAGTGCACAATATTTAAGATCAGATCTTGAAATCCTTGTGGATTTCTATGCTGGTACTACTCAGAGAAATGTAGAGTTCACCTCTTCCTGGAATCAATGGTAAGTCTCGTCACCTTATTGGAACTAGACTTCTCGATGCACCAACACCACTGGGAGATGTGTGTACTCAAGGGGACTGAGCGAAAAAGGAATAAAGTATTTAGAACTTAGGATCTGCTGCTGCTTTCTTGAGTTAAGTGGAAAACTCACCCTGAACTGGGAAACAGTCCAACCCTTGGGACCTTTGTACTATGCCCTCTTTTCTAGAGCATGCAGCTTCATCTTTGAGGGTCTTTGGGTCTCGACTCCTTAAAAACTTAAAATTATATCTGACTCAGCACAATAAAAACTCATTATATACAATAGCAATGAATACATGTATTTCTATTGTAACAGTTGTCAGTTTTGCTTTGCAAATGACTTAATCATTTGATCCATCCTATTCAACTCAAACAATTAATACATCTTAACTACTTATTTACACTTGAAACATTATTATACATGGTTAAGATAAACACATAAAGTTAAACCTTTAATCCAAGAGTTATTATGATTTCAGAAAATCATTCTGAGTTAACAGACAATATATTTTCCTTAACAGAAAGAACAAATGTTTCAGTGTGATGATTTATGTTCAAGCATATTTACCTGCATGTCTGTGAAATTTGGTGCTGACTGAGTTCTCTGTAGTATTTCTAAATTTTGAAGAAGTTTACTGAGTTCCACAAGGTTTGACTGACAATGAGCAAGATCTAACAGATACAAAACAAAAATACATTAAGTGCTTCAGTTCAGACTTCTTTTTGGGTTTTTTTTTTTGCCATGATAACACATTATTAAAGCTAAATGTCCAAATCCCTGGTAATAAGGCGTCTAAGTAAAAGCTTTCTTTTTAGAGATGTTGAGAACTTGTTATTTCTACGGGAGTCAGCAACAAGCCTGGACCTCAAAAGCTGATCATGTTTTAATCATGACAGCCATTAAGATAATACAGATTATTCAGATAAATTTTAAAAGCAACATCTCAAAACATGAAGAGAGGAAACTCCCACTACAAGCATCTATTTACTTGAAGAGCTACTTCAGGTGCATGTAAAGATGTAACTTCACCATTTTACATTTACTCTTTCTTATTTTATAGCAACAAGAAGTTTTGCTGAAAGAACAAGGCACAAAAAGGTAAAGACTGACCTTCTGCACATCTGTCCATCTCTTCAGAGTCCTGCAACCAGGCTGCCACTTTACTCTGACCAGTAGTGCAGGTGGCAGGAAGGCTGTTACTGCAAGGTATAGGAGACTGCCAGGGGAAGCTATTTTGTTGCACCTAAGGAACAATAAAATGCTTAAATTTACTGTTGCTCAGTCAGTGTGATCACCATACTACTTCAGAATAAGAAAACAAAATACGCATTGTGATTTCAGTGACATCTGTGATTTGACTACATAGTTCCTCAAGATGCCGATTTTTCTGAACAGCATTTTGGAGAACCAAACCAAGAACCTCACGAGCAAGCTGTGTTTCCTAGACACCAGTTAGAAAAGCTGTTGTTTAAGAGGAAGAACATTATCAAACAGTAAAGAGACAAATTTATCCCTGAGGACAAAGACAAGTGCAAATTGTTCTAGGGATGGTGAATTATTTGCAAGATCTCCACAGCAGACTATTAACAAAGGCTGCAGGAAGGCTAAATTAAACAGTCTCTGTTGCACACACTCACAGCTTTTGGCTGGCCATTGGTTCCCACAGTGGAAACTTCTCTCTATTGGCATTACAAGTAGAGTCCACTGAAACTGCCCATGGGCAAGCCCATCAGTTATCAAGAAAAAAACACTACATACCTTTCCATCTGACACATTAGCAGCTGGTGAAGACTCTGTAGTAGAGGCTGAAGGGAATATATGAAAGCTAGCATCTCTCGGAGATCTCACAATCTCATTCTGGCGGTACAGCCGGTGGTGGCGTAATTTTGCAACCCATGCATCAAATGAGTCCTGGGACTTCACCTGGAAACAAATTAACTATCAAGAAAGCATTCAAAAGACTACTTTTCTGCATACTTTTACAGTTTTATCTGTTTCCACTGTGGATGAGAAGAGAATAAGTATTTGCACCACTTTTTACCTTCAGATGATAGATGTGTTCTTCTGTGTCAAGATCTATTCTACGAGCCTTCTTTTTTATGGACATAACTGATAAACCAACATCAATGCTCCCATGGACTTTGCCTTTCTGTATCTAAAATCATAAAGCAGGGTAAGAAATTGGTAGTATCATGCACTTCTGCACTATATTTAACAGAAAGATATCTGGTGCTGAAATGATTTCCCATTTTATGAACATTTTAATATAAAGTCATATTAAAACATAAAACCTGTAGTCAGGCTAATCACTTACTGTATTTGTAGACAAAGAAAAATATCTCACAAGAAGTGCTCAGTGCAGAGCCAACTCCAAATTTAAAGTATGTTGGTTTGCACCAGTATACAGCTACAGGTAAGTGAGAAGCAGAGAAAATTAGACAGTACTCAGCTCCCTGCTGCTACTGCTTGATAGTTACTGGTATCAGATCTAACCAATTTAATGCTACCCTTTATATCTCTTGAGTACATTTTAATCACTTCTCTGTCCTATCCACATATCTCAGAATAATCAGCTCTGACTGACATAAAAAATTGAAAAACACATGGTCGGGCTAATCTCTCAAGCTCCTTCGCTAAATAAACTATTTTAAGTAATGTAGGTTTTATTTTCATAGAAGTAAGGAAAGGTAGAATTCTTGAAGACAGAACTGAACCAAAACCTTACATGCTTTCCATATACAGATCTCTCTTTGAATCCATCAACAATTTTCATGTATGTGCTGTCATAAATATAGAATCATAGAATCATTAGGGTTGGAAGGAACCTTAAAGATCATCTAGTTCCAAACCCCCTGCCATGGGCAGGGAAACCCTCCACTACACCAGGTTGCCCAAAGCCTCATCCAGCCTGGCCTTGAACACTTCCAGGGATGGAGCATCCACAACTTCTCTGGGCAACCTGTTCCACTGCCTCACCACCCTCTGAGTGAAAAATTTTTTTCTTATATCTAATCTAAATCTGCCCTCTTTCAGTTTAAATCCATTGCCCCTTGTCCTATCACTACGCGTCCTTGTAAAAAGTCCCTCTCCAGCCTTCCTGTAGGCCCCCTTTAGGTACTGGAAGGCTGCCATAAGATCACCCCGGAGCCTTCTCTTCTCCAGGCTGAACAGCCCCAACTCTCTCATATGCCTAGAGCGAGTACAAGATTTAATCACCCGGGCAGGCTGAATTCCAATACAAATTTTAAAATTGTCTTCAACTTTACTTACATCAATTGGTGACTTTGAATATTTCAACAGTCCATTATCCAGGACGAAAAACCTCTGAAAGAAAAAAAAAAAAAAAATTCTTTCTTAATAAGTGGATGCCATTTAAACTGTGTACAATTATTCATCTGCAAAAGGATTACTCTGTAGCAATTAAGAAATGTTTGTGGGTTGGTAAGAGAGGATAAATACAGTATTGAATAATTCTCTTGCTAGTTTTTTGACAACAACTGTCTTCTAAGCAAGAAAAACTAGATTCTCTTCTTTCAACACTGTGTTCTAGGTTTAACTTAACATTTAACATTTAACAGCAAAAGTGCATAGTCTCACTGTGAGCTCACACAGAAGATTGCAATCAAGAAGATAAACAAAATTCAGAGACACAATTGAGCAAATCTGCCCAGTCAGCATGCCTGAAGGGCAATACTCTCCCTTAAGAACATCTTGGGTCCATGCAGCCCCACTGCTATCATGAAGTCCTGTGTACTTTAATGTAAACCCAATGCAATCTTACAATACATGGCTACGTTTTATTATAATATATTGGAAAGAACAAAAGGGATATTGATTAAACCCCTGAAACCACAAGGCATCTGCTGCATTATTTACAACTTCCGCCTGGATTTTGAATACAACATTAGGCAGCAGGCACTGCAATTTGGAAGCCATAAACTGTGTGTGCAAACTAATTCTTCACACCATTTGAAGAAAAAAAAAAACAAACTAACATATACCAGAATCCTGGGCATTTATTTGACATCCTAATTTCCTCTAGACAAAAAATCCCAACTCATAAAATGACGTAATAATTTTCTGACCATTTTATGAGACATTTACCTTGTGCCAACCTTTTAAAGGCCATTTTCTCTTTTTCAGCATGAAACCTTCATGTTTGTCTGGCTTCTGGACATTGGTCTGGCCTATTTTCAGACCCTCTATGATTTCCCAGCTGTCAGGTTCCTGGTGAAAAAGTATGAAGACACATTGATTAATTAACTGTGCTCACACATGATGAAAAATTACACTTATATGTAATACAAATTTTCTAGTGCAAGACAATGAGTAAAGGAGGGCTAGGCTTTTCCATCAGCCTATTTAGGTACCAAACTACATGATCACTGTATTATGTCTGGCTGAATCGCATTTAAAACTACTGAATATTAATATTTTTGGAAGTCTAACCCTAACCAGGCAACGAAAAGGAAGTCGAAGCTTTTTAAAAAGTCTGACACTGTAATGAATGATAGTCTGGACATACTGTTCACAACAAGGACTCTGTCCCAATGAAATAAATACATCAAAATACATGAAAATAGGATCAAATTGTGACTGAGCTAAGCATAAGATCAGACCTGCTACTGACGGTACCAGTGTGAAAGTGCAGGTGGTTTTGACCACCTGTTAAATCTATCCAGAAGGCACCCCACAAATTAGCACTGCACTATAAGAACTAAAAGGAGTGTAGAGATTTTGCAAGTGGGATATGGTAGAATCTGCAGGTTAAAAAGATACCTTTACTCAGAATATTCCTTCTCTAAAAAAAAGATGAGATTGTGAAATAAAATGAGGAAGAAACCATACTGTTAAATATATGGGCAACTATTAACAGTGCCTTTTGCGGTATTTGCTGATCATAAAAAATTGTAAATCTTCTGATCTTTAAAGTACAAGCTACATTGATTCTGGAGAGTCTAATTTTCCCTTAAAATCAGAAAAATAAGCAAGTTTGTTGGTTTGTTGTTGGTTTTCAATGTAGCCAGCTCTTGCCCTCAAAGGCATTTTATGACAGTTTCACAGGCTAATTGCAACTTCAGAAAACTGCAAGAGGAAATTAATATTTTTACATTTTCCTGCATTAATTTTCACTGTATTATTAAGAGAAATTTACTAGGACAGTTAATTTTCTCTCTAGAGAAAAGAATAGGAACTATATAATTTCAAATACAACCAGCTGTATACCTTTCAGGGAGCCAATTAAAGAATATTTCTTGTACACACCACTTCTTATGCATGATGACTTGTACCAGATTTATAATGTACCATAGTGAACAGCTAAAGAACAATATTTTTAAAGAGAAAAAACAGTCATGCCTTTATTTCTGTCCTCTTGCTATTACTGTAATCAACAAAATTCTGTACCTATTTAAAAATCTCCTATTGCCTGCTCATTAATAGCTGTATTACTAATTATATCTTACAAAATTGTAAGCTTTAATTTTCTCAGCTGATCTGTCACAACTCCCAGCAACACTATGAAAAGTTATCAAGAGAGGAAGGAGGTCACAGAGCATCAAACATTTAAAGGGTAAAAAAATTGTCTTCTCCGTTTCCCACAAAACTGTTAGAAGTCATGCACTGCCAGTCTTTCATAACACCTCCAAGTGAGTTATATAGCCCTGATAACATCAACATTACTATTACGAAAACAAGATTTCAAAAGTAACAGCAAATTTCAAACCTCCAATTTTCAATAAGGTCTTGTTATTTTGAAAAGCTCTCTCCCAAATAATACATACTGCAGTAAATTTTAATAGAAAAGTTTACTCAATTTAGTTTTCCTTGCATAACTATAAACTGGAACCATCCCAGTGCCTGTATATGCCATGCTCTAAAACCATCTTTTTTTACTTCCCTGTGTTCTGCTTGGATATTCTATTTCCACTACTGTAGAGGGAAGCATATATGCATTAATTTTTCCTTAAAAATTGGCACTTGGCACTTGAGGGGGTCAAATTAAACTAAGAGTCCCCTGGGGCGGGCAGAGAATCTCTCTCTGCAACTCTGCCAACTGTTTCTTCACCATATTGATTTCTCCTTTAGAAGATCAGCTGCAGGCATAAGTCTTTTATTTACTAGATAACATCAGTATTGATTACTTCTCAGCTAGAAATCACACAATCTCATATAGCTACTCATTTAAACAAAAGGCCTGATACAGAGAGACAAAATGAGCAATTATTCAGTGCAACGTATGTATTTGTCTTCTGCTGCACCAGTGCTACATGCTGTTCTTAAAACCATCCTAACAAACCTAACTGTGCCTCATCCCACAGGTTTGGTGTGATGAGATACACTCAATACAAGCGTCAGTATGCAAGAGCAGCCAGCTACAAGGGAAAACCAGAGTGAAAGTGATATGCTTGAAGGGTCCTCATCCAATGCCAATTCTCAAGGACAGCATTAGTACTTTAGGACTTCTGCGATTCCCTGCGTGTTACATGAGAAACAGCCCTGCACGAAGCAGCAGGACCAGCAGAACGCATGCGTAACTTACAGTCCTCAGGTCTGTGAATGCCCCACGTATTAGGAGTAAGAATCCACTACCAACAGCTTTCTGAACCCAGTCTTTTTGTCTGCCAAGCATTTCTTTTCCAAATAAAACAAAATGAACCATTTCATTTTCCCTGGATGAACAGAATATTTCTTTTTGAATTGGTTTGAACAACTCTGTTTCAGAACTTACAGACATTTAATTTCACACCTTTTTTTTTTCCCCAGCAAATATTCCATCACGGTATCCTCACATTTTTGGTAACAATCTTACTTTTTCATATGAAGTGTCTTAAAATGAAGCCTCCTTTGCGTGGAATTAGACTTGTTTGGAATCAGTTATTCCAGAACTGAGGAATCCAGCCAGGAAGATGTTGACTGCAAAGCACCACACACAAGGCTGCACCTTTCAGGAACTGGTTAACCCCTACAGTTCTATCCATTTCTCTGCCTCAGGAAAGAAGGCCTTAGCAAGATATTTTAAATTGCAAGCCTTAAGAAACTACCGACAAGGAATGTCATTAGGACATTTTTTTTAAAGTAGTATCATTATTGATTACTAGCACTTTTGGACTTGAAGATTATTTGCTCTACCTTAATAAGAGGACTGGATCATTTCTGAAAGTCTCTTCTAGCTCCATACTCTGAGATCATAACACTTGTTCCTGGGGGCCATCCATGGGCAAAAACAATTCAGACCACCACCACCATCCAAATCCTTAATGTTGTTAACATAATATCTACTGAAGACTACTGGCTCCTCTGACACCTCAGCTGAGCAATAGGAAGCTCCAGGGAAGGCTCGCAATATACTCAACGGTAGAATCATACAAAATAACATCCCAAAACTGTTAGTCGAACTACTTTGTAACTACAGCTAGAAACTCATCACCCAGATTACAGCCCATGCTTCTCCTTACCTTGGATAGAGAGATATGGTCACTTTCAAGGAACTGCTTGCTTAGAGAAGGGTCTGTGCTTCCTGAAGAAGCCTTCCGCTCCAAAATATGAACACTCTAAAAAAAAAAAAAAAAAAAAAAAGGTTAATTAAAGATAACTTTTCATTTAATGTTATTTATTAAAATACATATTAAGTAATGAATGACTGATAATTACATTCTTTATATAGAATATCAGCATCATGGCTCAAAATGTACCAAGTCCTACCCATGCATAACATAACTGCACAAATAGCTTGTCTTCTGAGGCAATACACTTCTCTTTCCTTGCTCTTTCTTTTCTTATTACTGGTTTTTAAACTAATTACTCTGTTCAGCCTAGAAATTACTGGGAGCTGAAAAAAGCCAGGAAAGACAAGAAACACGGTTCTTACCTACAGAGATGCAAAGTGCTTCTAGCCAGACCTGTTATGTTTTCTGCTAAGATACAAGACGTTGAGTATACGTATCGTGCAGTCAGCACCGTGCTACATTCACTTCTAAAGCAAACCATTGTACCTAAGATATTACTGCCTCTAACATATTCATTATCACACCTTAGCATTTTGTTATCGGCTTCTCAACCAAGGTGAAATAACTCATTTCACGAGTGCTTTTAATAGATTACAGGTGTTCACAAGTTCAGTTACTGGGTCTCAGCTGACAAGCTTGCTGATGAACATTTATGGAACACAATGATCTTACACCACTACAGCTGTTTTCATGTATAGCAACACTATGAAATTTTGTATCTTCAAAGCATGGTGCAAAAATGAAATGCTTAATGTCACAACTAGTCTGAAAAAACTGCTATTCTTAAAAGACATCTAAAAATGTGTTCCTGTTTTCCAGAAACGTTTCTCTCTTGTTTTGTAAAAGAAAAAGCATTTTTGCTACAGGAGAAAATAACCACGTTCTGCCTGCTTGGATTTGCATTTCATTCTCGGTGAATTTTGCTACATCTCCTATTATTATTTGGTAAGAATTCTACCACAACATGTCAGTAGTATTTCTTTGACATGAAATAAAACTATTTCTTTTCCAGAACATGTAGCACAATGACAAACTTGCAATTGCAATTACCCTCTGTGAAGGGTAAGTTTTTCTCAAACGAAAACAGCAATTAAATTTTGTTCACAATTAAGCTTCTTTACATTCACTTAAGACATTATACAGGTACAAGTGACAGCAGAAACAATCAGGGAATATAAAATACATACAAACAGCAGAGTAAATATTATTATTTATGTACTTAGTTATTTGTATAAACAAGGACCATAACCAAACTAAACTAAAATAAACATAGCTATTCATATAAATGCGTATATAACACAGCAGAGCAACACGCAGATCTTACGCACACGCAGATCTGTGCTACTTATGCACGCAGTATGATATTTAAACAATATGCAAGAAAACCTAAATCTGTTCTTCCAAGGAAGATTAAAATGTCACTTGATTAGCATAATCAGGACGATTCCCAACTTTCTTGCCAGTTTTGTTTGGCAGGCAGGAATCCTTCCATCTTGAGATGGAGCAATGCCCAACACAGATATTCTGAAGGTCTCATATGTAGCAGCCAGTACAGTTTGTTGTTACGTAACTGCTATTTCATTTTGTACAATATTTAGAGTGGAGTAACACAACAGCCCTTGGCTTGCCAGATTTCCAGTGACATTTTCAATCGCATGATTTCAAGGAAAGAGGGTTTTGTACTTTTTTTTTTTTTTTTTTTTTTAAATCAGCCCTCAGTCATTACAGTTCTGCAGTTGAGAAAGACATTATTAGCTAACAGCACTTTAATGAATGCTGACTTACTCAACTATTCGTTTGGAAATAAGAAAATGATCACTTTGAAAATAAAATGGTGGTCTTTACATCTCTTACTTCAAGAAGTGTTGTCTTGTATGTAGATGTCCGCTTTCCAATTCTTTTCTGTCATGATCACCATTACACTGACATAAAATCATTTCCTTAAATTTGTGCCATGCTTCTAGCACAGTATTAAGAGATATTACTTGTTGCAAAATGTTTTCCATTAATGCATGTTATTTTTCTGCAAAATTACATATAGAAGTTACACAATTATTGAACCTTTTGCAGTTGAAAGCAGCTATTTTTATAATGTGGTTTAGTTATTTAGCATCACAGAAACAAAAATTATTTAGATCTTGACGTTTTCATCAAGCTTTTTTTGTTTTAACAAGAAAAATAGAGTTAGTAAGGGAAGTAGTTTTAAAAAGCTGATGAGAAGAAAAGGAAGAAAGATGTAGATAAATACAGCTTCTGGATTTTGTTTATACGAACACAAAAATGCCTAGTACTCTCACTCCTCTCATCCCAAGAATATAGGCAGACAAAATTAACCTCTGCATTGCTCCGTTCCAGACTTCCCTCATGCTTCAGGATTACCTGTGTGCCACAGCTGGCTTGCCCTGGAGAAAAACACCATCAAATTCAGTGTATTCTTGGAAATTAATTCAACAGGATTACAAGCTTAACCAAAATTGCTCTGTAATCTCACTGCTAAATCTTAGTTCTAACTACAATCCTTCCTTCAGCTTTGAGATTATTCACAACATAAATTTTATATGTGAGATACGTTTGCCCCAAAATGCCCTTAACAAGCCTACATGGGGGGAATGCAAATGCTGATTCTGCCCTGCGTTTTCTTCATGTCGCTTCTCAAAGACACGTGAGTTAGAAAGAAGCTGATGGAGAGAATAAAAATAAAATGTTGTTTCATATTCTCATCTTCTTTGAAGGGCAAGAATAGAAAACGTATTTTACAATATCTTTTTATATATCTTGTCAAATTTGTTTCTCAGTTAAGAGTTCAGTGACCCATTCACCTCATCCACCAGAACAAATGCTAGGACATGGGAGCATCCAGTCTCCATCAGGCCAGAGGCCAAAGACCCTAACATTTCTTAACTCAATCTGACTTCCCATCAAAAGAAAAGAAGAATATTCAACAGTTTTCAAAGGAAAGGCAAGGAAAGAAAAGAGATACTTAGTAAGAGATAGGAAATACAGTTAAGGACAGGTCTGGCACTCACATCTCCCCTTCTGCTTTGCTGCATAATTACTTAATGGAATTTAATTATAATTAACACAATGAGTTCCCTCTAACTCATAATTTATTCATTTTCAAGAAAAAGATAAGCTGGTGAGGAATTTAACCCTCATACTGGTCTCAGACTCTTTAGTTCAGAAATGTGCACAACATGTGGCTAACAGTTAACTAATGAAAAAGAATTGGTGGGTCATTTTGTTTGCTTGGAGCATTCAGCAGTCTTCAACACCCATAACCATGGAACCTAGGCATACAGTGTTCTACAA